ATGATGAGCTCCCAAAGATGCTCACCACCTATCTTGGTCGGGCAGTGTGAACCGAATTTTCTCGCAAGATGCCTCGATCTATAGCAAATGACGTCGCTCGGGTTGATTGAAATGCCCTCATCTAGCAACCTGATAGCAAAGTTCATGGTAATCTTCAAGATTCAATGAAGAGAGCGATTCGATCGTGAAGTAAAACGTCCAGCGGTATATCGTTTGCAAACAGAGATTTGAATGGATGTTTTCTTACAAGTCTTATAGATAATCATCGAACCTTAACACGCCTAACTACACGTGCTGTATGAAAAGTAATCACTCTCAGGGTGATAGAGGGATTCCTTCGGTGGTATATCAGTACGCATAGTATGGCTTACCAGTCTGGATTTCTGATCTTTGAACAATATTTCCGGAGTCTTTGGTGTGAAGAGATGAGTAGTCTTTTTAATCTTAAGCTTAGACGCAAGATGACCATGGCAAGCCCCGTCCTAGCCAACAAGGATGTTAAGTATAGACCAGGCACCCATCCTACAAGTGTCTTAACATACAGTAAAGCATAGGAAGATGAAGTTACAACCAGTCAATCCGATAGGTTCAAGAACCCCAGGTCAGTATATAAGTATAAAGGCGCCGCTTCGAACATTCTTAAGTATTTGTCACTGCTTAAAATACTAGTCATCTAGCCCCTATAAAGGACACCTAGACGAACACTCTTGGAATACAATTATGGGACACAGCATGATCTATATATTCGTGTATTATGTATAGGTCCAGGATGACACACAATCTTATTTTCATAGGCACACCAACTTAGGGATCTTTGACAAAGCTTATGATGATATCAAGCCTGACCAGGGACGTATCTGTACATAAACCTCACTTTAGCGCATTATCTGGTTTATGCCACTAAATTTTCGAGTTACTTTGGACGAATGGCATCGTTTAAGCAAGCCTGGCTGTTCAGCTGTGATGGTTCAGCTCTCTTCAATACCCTAAACCACTCATAAGTCAGTAATCTTTTAGCAGAAAGGACGTACTTGCTAGAGTATAGTGAGCTAGGGATGTTCTAGTAGAGACATTTCACCTTTGCTTTGTCACAGGCCAAAGATCCTGTACTTGTTGCAACTCCTATAGAGAATGGTAGTTTGTGTGAAGCTCTGACAGAAGATCCTCAAGCGCTACCTCCTAAGTGGCACATATATCACGTCGTCTGGGGCTGACAGATCTATTGTGCGGAAGTGACTGCAATCAGTTAGCATGTCAGCTGACCTGCGGCGTTTGCAGAGTGTTTTTCCCACTGTTTCTCTATCTTCTATCTTCAATCGTCAAGCAATAATCTACATGGTTTGAATATCATCATTTTTCATTCTTTCGGGTGCGTTTCCATCTACTATTTTCACATAGGATACGTACATTATTGTTCCCAGGGCTGACAACTACTGAATAGCTTGTGAGTGACGGCACATATACTACTGTTTTCAGGGCTTACATATTCAGTAATGACGTGCCCCTGGAGGCTTATGAATATATATATATGAATACTGGGAAAGTCCTTGTTTTCATGTCTCGGGATAAGTTCTATTCTGTAATCAGATTTCTTTTCACCCCTATAGGGCAAGCATAGAGGCTTATATAATTGATTATATTTTATCTATATTGGTATCTTATCATAATCTTTGAACTTTGTAGCATGTGTAGTGATAATATTCATTGTTGATTCTATAACATCGCGCTTCAGCTAAAGGCCAAGGCGCAGGGGTTGGTGGGGGCGGATAGGAGAGAAAAGGGCTGAGGATAAGTACAAGATTGAGGGGTATAATTTAGAAAGACAGAGGATAAGAAAGGCTAAGAGACCAAGGTCTGATCTTTTTATATTTAGTGATAGAGTGAGAGGTTACAGGACAGTGTATTAGGGCGCTAAGCTGGGAACATCAAAACAGCCATCAAGTAGTCATTATAGATCAGGGAAAATCTCAATCATAGAGTAACTAGGTATCCAACTCAAATTCCTGTGTAGCCGCCTTTAAGTTTTTGATGATATGGAAAGAAAGCCCCGGGATACAGCAATCCGACTATCCAGGTGGGTTTTCAGCTGGGAGTCTTTTAGCCTGAACCAAATATTTGTTCCTATTATTATTGTACGCATTGGCTTTGGGTAAAGCAAACGTTCATGTATATCATAGACATGAATTTTTCGATGACCGCGAGGGTTTGTTAGCTATCTGTTTAGCACATTCTCTTCTGCTTTCCATATCACCACTCGTGGCGCACAGGTTTGTTTGTCATGGGCCCATTTCCCGTAACACTTCCACCCAGGTGATGATTTTGCAACAAGGCAGCCAAGGCCAAGGTTTTTCTCGAGACTAGACTCGTGTAGACACCTCAAAACATTATGTCAGATGCTTGGAAACAAATAGTCGGTCAGCATCTGACTAGTTGAAGTGCATCTACCCCGTTTGATGGTCTCGGGGGTGGACCCTCGTTCGGCTAGTCTGCAGGCAGAGAGCAAGGAGGCATACTCAACTTCGAACAAAGCTGCGCAATGTTTTCAGAGATATATCTGCGCGGGTTCCCGCATGTGCCCAGAATCGAACCGATCAGCTTGAGGGAGACTCGACGGCCTGGAACTATTTAGACACCTCTTCGACTTTCAAGGGACATGACACACCGCTATCTCACCTGGGCAACACACGCGCCACTTACTGTATTTGCCTCGGGCCCTTTCCAATAATGCGGTTGATAAACCTCTTCTCAGTCCACAATCTACACGTTTCCTAGGATCGGGTGCTATGTGTTGGTGAGTGATGATTTTCTACCAGATATTGAGGTAGGTAGATGGATGAGAATCACATTTGGAGACCGTTCACAGACACCACTACATTGAAATTCGCGATGAATAGAGATGGAGAATTTAAACGCAAGTCTCGCTTGTGAATGGTACAGAGAGTCTAGGCAATGATCCAGGTTGTGGGGCTCCGATTGGAATGTTGCAGCATGGGTTGTATGGTACTTTGTTTAGTTCTGATGTGTTCTGCACTTCTGATGGGTTGTGTTCGGGGCAGTGGAATATAATACTAGTAGCTACGCAAATACCTTGAGATCCGACAGGGGACACGTCGAAAACTTCTACATTGGTAGATCTGACCTGCTTCTTGAGAGATGCAGTTGACAGGGACTTCAGTTGATGCCCCAATGCATTGCTGTAGGGCATGTGAGACCAGTCAACAGTGGCGCAGACGAATCAATTACGCGAATCCTCATACCAGAGGGCGCCTCCTAATTCTAATGCAAGGCGTATTTACGATAGATCGAGTGCATGCCGCGCGAGACCGAGCAAGGGGTCCATTTCGCCGATTCTTGCGCGGCAGTCAACTCATTGTCCCCGGGGTGTGCCCTGCCTTAAAAGGTTACACTTTGCGTTGTGCCCGACCCTGCTTCCCAATTGCTTGCAACCGAAATTCAAGATGGGTTCTATCTCGGATCATAACGGCCTTCAGACCGTCGATATCTCTGCCTATCTCCACAGCAATGACCCCGTTTCCCGCAAGGCAAAAGCAGACGAACTGGTCAAGGCGATCCACGGGCATGGAGCCTGCGGGATTGTGGGCCACAACATCCACATTGAGACCTGGCGCGAGGCACTAGAACGGTCCAAGGAGTTCTTTGATCTGCCGCTGGAGGAAAAGAGAAAGGTTGACCATCCGCAGGGGACAGTGCCGCATCGCGGATACACTGGCATGGGCAGGGAAAGTATCTACAGCAAAGACGAACTGGAAGCCATGGCAGGCAATCCGGGCGCCAGGGCGGACAAAGCTCTGGACTGGAACGTTCGGTCATCGATCGTGTTTTTCCTCTTGGAATTTTCTAACCGGATGTTTGGCGGCAGGAGCATTACGATATTGGCAGCGACCAGGAACCTGTCCACCATAATCGTTGGGTCGACGAAAAAACCATGCCCGGATTCCGGGAATTCATGAAGGATTTCCTCCAGAAGTTGGAGCAGTTGCACCGAGCCGTCCTGGACGCTCTGCTCTTGGGACTGGAGGTAGAACCCAGCGAGGACTACTTCCGCTCCCTTCACGCGGGGCCTCAGGGCGGAATACGACTACTGCACTATCCATCACTCCTCGAGTCGACCATCGATCGTCAGGCGACCACTTGGTGGCCCCCGCACACTGACTTTACGACCTTCACATTTCTCATCCGAGATCAGAACCAGGGACTGGAGATCGAAGACCGAAGCCAGCCCAGGACGTTCATTCCGGCCACGACCGAGATTCGAGACCGCATCTGGTTTACAATGGGGGACTTTGGAGAAGTATGGAGTAATGGCTACCTGCCTGCGTCCAAACATCGAGTGATGATTCCTTCCCCACCACCAGGCCTGAGTACGACTACGGAAAGATTCTCGATCCCGTATTTTGTAAATCCGAGAAGCGACGATGTGCTGGTGCCTCAGACCACAGGGAAACCTGCTACGATGCCTGACGGGGAACATAAGCGGACCACTGTCCACCAACACATGGAGTTTAGGATGAAGTACCAGTATGCACGGCCAGCGTGATAAGGACAGGGGGATTTGTGATAGCCTCTAGTTTTGTACCAGCAGTCTGCTCTATTAATTACATTCTTATACGATGGATTCTTGTTCCTTTGTGTTGATGTAAACGAACGCGAAAACCAAAACAGACCGAGGGGAGTCAGTGTTTAGGGAACTCCAAACAGGCAGTAGAATAAATCTAGACCATACCTACTATCTCACCGACATGGTAAAATACCCAGCCACTTTCATGCAGTGAACGTGGAGAAGAGGACACGCGTGACAAGTGCATTTATATCAATACTGCAAGGGGGACCTAGCGGCATGTTTGTCAACAAAGTAGAAGGAGAAAACAGGAGTGATGGAACAAACTGGCAGGGAATGAAAGAGTTTTCTCCCCCTCTCTCCCCCAATACAGATGGATGAAACAATGTCAATAACAACTACATTGTTTTCAGTTCCCCCCATGGATTTCTTTCCAAAGTCCGAGCCTGTCAAGGGGTACGTGCTAGCTGCGCTCGTGAGTGCGATTGCTGTCTGCCTCCTAATCGTTGTCGCCGACTATCTATACGGATGGAGCATCCGAAAGCAATTGGGAGATATTCCCATTGTCGGTGACAATAGTGACGTCTGCTCTTTGTTGCAAAGGAGGTCAGCCGAGGGCGATCTTGTCAAAGAGACTACTCAAGCGTACCAACAGGTGAGATCTTATTGATCTCTTGTCTCCATTCGGAGCCACAATTAATCATTGGACAGTATACCAAAAATGGCCTACCATGGGCTATAAGACCTCTCAACCGGTTCTACTGGATATGCCTCCCACCACAGTCGGCCAGGGAATGGAGCTATCTTCCACAAGATCATCTCAACTTCATCAAATTAGTTGAAAAGGTATGCCCCTCCTACGAGAAGCTGAGAAAGTCAGGCTGGTGACCCCTTCAGGAAAATATGCACCACCGCCACTCGAACTTGGCATCACCGACCGTGGCCAATGCCCTCCTCAAATGCAATAAGAAGCCTTATCTGGGTGAGATTTGTGGGCTCCTGGGATGCGGAGAAAGATAGAGATTGAGGGGAGCGTAGCTAACACAAGGCTCAGATGCGTTCTCCTACATGGTCGGCAGTCAGGTCGACCAGCTCATACCGTCCGCCTTTCCCGTGAGCCCCGGTGAAAAAGGTTAGTGGATGCCAGTACAAAGGAAAGAACGCTGGACAAGTGACCAACCCCACCGCAGGATGGCAGGTAATCAATGTTTGGGAAAGACTATACTATGTCCTCTCGCGGGTGATGATTGCGTGCATTTTGGGACCTGAATTTGCATCCGACCAAAAGCTCCTTGAGCTGTATGTGTCCTACAACTCTTTGATAACGTCCCATACAAGCACTTGCGTCAGGTTCCCAAGGCCTTTGCACTCCCTAGTCTCACGGTTTGCTCCGACGAACCGGAAATTGAGGACAGTCATGAAAGAGCTAAAGAGCAGACTCATCCCCGAGATTCGCTGCCAAGTGTGTCGATTACGCTCCGAAAAGTCTCAAAACAGGTCATGTTCGCTACTAGATGCCGTGATCGAGGAGTGTATGGCGGAAAATACCATCGGTCGTGAGACGAGGCACTTTGATGAAGAAAAGCAAATCAGCCAGATAGCTGACAAGATCATGTTCCTTCACTTTGAAAGCGCTCTTCCGGTCACAATGGCCGTGACTACAATAATATACCGCATCATGGTCAACCCCGAGTGCGTCGCACCTCTCCGTGAGGAGCTACAGGCAGCCCTGCCCACAGGACAATGCACCACTCCCGACGTGATGAACCAATGCCCCAAGTTGGAGAGCTTTATGCGTGAAAACCAGCGTCTTCACGGCAGTAGTCTATGTGCGCAACCTCCCCGCTCCCTGTCACAGCAAGACACTAACAAGGAATCAAATTTACCAGACTGTTCGAGTCGTCTTGTGATAAAACCGGTCCACATCCCTTCCCTTGGCCGCACCTTTCCCGCGGGGTCGATCCTCACGCTGCCCTGGTACTGGATGGCACGCGATCCGGATTTGTATCCAAACCCAGATAGATTCGATAGCAACCGCTTTTACGATGCGTCCTCGGGGGGCTGTACTGCACGTCTTACGACCACATCCGACAAATTTCTAGGCTTCGGGTACGGCGCCGTCACTTGTCCAGGTCGCTTCTTGACGAGCAGACTCATCCAAACCGTCTTCGCCAAAATCCTCTTGGATTTCGATGTCACTTGCATGCCCAGCAGGCAGGAATTTCCTTTCAATACCCTTTCGAGTTCGTTCTCTATGCCAAATTCTGAAATCGAGGCGCGAATTAGGCCTCGTGCCGGGAAGATGTAGCCCTCGCCAGCCTGGCAAAGTAGACAGTGAAACATCATAGTCCTGCTAGAAGCATATCTTTACTTATAGTCTTATTGATCTATTCTGAGCTCTGAGGGTTTCCCCCTTTTCCAGCAGTATAATATATTTGTTTGTTACACGTATCAAATACACCGACGTAGTGATTGAACATGGCTCCATAGAGTCTGGTGGGTGATAGCCATCAAGATATCATCACCCTTGTCCCATCCATCCAACTTTTGAACGGCCAGTGTTTTTAGCTTCGGTGAAGTTACTCGAGAATAATTAGAGGTTTCAGCAACTACACTAGAATACTCTAGACAGCCCCTGGATGGCCCAGGCACCCGATCCCCTCGGCTGATCGAAAGCCAATACAAAAGGGGTGGTGGCTGTCGTCCCTTCTTGGTTGCAGCACTCCCTTGCGTCAGTTGCCCGGAGGGACCGACTATTTATTGATCAGTTGATCCACGCATGTTCATCTTTTTTTCAGCTGCTCGCCACTATTGCAGTCAACGACGCATATCTCCGTCAAGGGATCGAGGCAAGGATGCAGGTTATTCCGCGACACCCAGAAAGCTAGCAAACTATTCCCCTTGCCTGGGAGGTGGGGACAGCGACAGTTGGCTAGATGCCAGCTATGCATACAACGGTCTCCTCTTCCACTATGCGCCTTCTCTGTTGGGTGATCTGGGCTTGTTGTCGTCGAGTTTTGGTGTTCGCTTGTGGTTTCGCCCCTGGTCTCTTTTCTTTTCTTTTCTTTTCTTTATTTTCTTTCTTTTCTTCTGAGCATCAATCTAATCGTTCGTGTTTTTCATATTGACCCCATAAAACCATGACCATAAAAAAGGGCCCCTGTGCGGACATCGCCTGCCACTCCGAGCATCGCAGCTGGCGGTCACTGGAGTCAAGTCTAGCATGGCCCGGGAACGTGGCCAATGACCCTCGGAACGGCCAGGCAATTCTGGTCCTCAGTTGGGTAGTCCTGCAACAGTACTACCAGCAGGGCATGTCTGGCCCCGTGGGTGTGCTCGACATCCTGACATCTCGCAGCAATGACTACCGCGACGGTCTCCGTGTGTTGGACATTGCCCTTGACCAAGACCTCTCGATTTGCGAGGGATCGAAATCGATTCAGAAGCGAATCTCAGATTCTCCACTCGTGGAAGATCGATCGTTGACAAAACTCCCGGCCATTCTTTTGTACCGGAATGGAGATAAGCCAGAATGGAATGTGTCGTCCGCCGTTGGGCAACGTCTATCCAGCACCTTTCCACTCGCCCCCATGTTCTTGGACTGCAAGCACCAGGATCAAAATCTATCTGTTAGCATGGTCTTTGATGATGCATCCATTGATACGCCGCACTGCCAGGCTTTCCTCGACCAGTTTATTTGGACAGTCTCCCAAGCACTAGGCCGTAGTGACTTGGTGATCCGGGACCTCATGCAGATCAGCCCACCTGCACTTGATCGCGTTCTGGAGGTCAACAAGCGGGTTCCGGCACGCCTGGATATCTGTGTCCATGACAAGATTCAAGAGTGGTGTCGCGACTCCCCAGAGTCCCCGGCCGTTGAGTCATGGGATGGAACTTTTACATACGGTGAGCTCGACCGTCTGGCGGCGAAGCTCGCATCCCGCCTGACACACTCCGGGGTCGGCCCTGAGACATTCATCCCAATCTGTACGGATAAATCAAGATGGGCAGTGGTTGCCATTCTTGGTGTAATAAAGGCAGGCGCCGCGTTTGTCCTGTTGGACCCCTCATGGCCTTTCCAGCGGTTGCAGTCTATATGTCAGGAGGTCCGGCCAACCATAATATTGTCCTCCGAGGCGCATGCCGACCGGTGCTCACATCTCGCCAACGTAATTGCCATCGAGCATCTGGACCAAGGCTGGTTTCCGCAGCAGGGCAACTTCAGACCACCGCAAGTGGACGCCGACAACGCGCTGTATGTGGCCTTCACATCGGGATCGACTGGGCGGCCGAAGGGGGTGGTGATCGAACATGGTTCATACTGCACGGGAGCCCAGGCACATTGCCGAGCGTTCGGGATGGACCGTACATCCCGAGTTTTGCAATTTGCGTCTTACGCCTTCGATGTCAGCATCATGGAGTTGCTGAGCACCCTGATGTCAGGAGGGTGTGTGTGTGTCATGCCAGACGCTGCACGCACCGATCCCGCGCTATTTGCGCAGGTAGCTGGGAAGCTTGGTGTTACCCACGCCCTTCTTACACCTTCGTTCGCCAGGATGCTCCCTTGGGAGCAGATGCCGCAGGTGAAGACCCTCATATTGGGCGGCGAAAAGATGCTCGCGTCTGACGTGGCCGCTTTCACCCGCAGAGGAATTACCTTATTCAATGCCTACGGTCCGGCGGAATGCTCGGTCAATGCATCCGTACAACAGTTGGAGGAGGGCTGCCCACCAAACACCATCGGACAGCCCACCGGGGCTGTCGCGTGGATCGTCGATCCGGATGATTGCGAGAGGCTCATGCCTACTGGGGCTGTCGGGGAGCTCCTCATCGAGGGCCCCATCGTAGGCCGTGGTTATTTAAACAACGCGGAGGCCTCGAATCGGGCGTTTATCGATCCGCCCAAATGGCTGCAGCTGCTGCCCCGGGGCATAAGTCAGAAGAGATTGTATAGGACTGGCGACCTGGCGTTCCAAGACGCAAAGGGCTCTCTTGCTATTGTCGGCCGCAAAGACGGACAGGTAAAGGTTCGTGGACAGCGCGTGGAGCTGGCCGAGGTGGAGCACCATATCTCTGAGATCTTTGACGAGGTCACCGACGTTATTGTAGAGAAAGTCCGCCACGGAAACCTTACAGGTTTTGTCTTGCCAGGTTCCGTGCTAGCATGCCAGGTGAAGGAGGAAGCCATGGAATCTCTTCTTTTTAAACCAACTTCCGCATATGTTGCGCGAGCTCGCTCCGTGCTGGACCGCCTGCGACAGAGGTTGCCAGCATATATGGTTCCAACGGTGCTCATCCCACTGAGATACATTCCACGACTGGCTTCCACCAAGGTGGATAGACGGCTCCTTCGCCAACATGCAGATCAAATGTCACCGGCTGAATTAAAGATGTACCTTTCGGAAGACCACAAATCTGCTCCCTCGAATGAGGCGGAACACGCCATCCGAAACCTATATGCCGCAACCTTTGGCGTCCCCGTGGAAGCCATCGGGATGGAAGACACTCTCTACAGCTTTGACGGGGATTCAATTTCGGCCATTAAACTGGTCGGAGCCGCGAGGCAGGCAGGATTTGACGTGGCCATCGGCAGTCTACTTAGTCGGTTGTCGTTGCGGGAGCAGGCGGGTGCAATGAGAAAATCGCTTCCTGAGCCGTCCTCAACCGCAAGGGACTTACCATTCTCCATGATTGACCCAAACACCCGAGCCGAGGTTTTTAGTGTAGCAGCGGAGCAATGTGACCTCGAACCGGCCCGGATACAAGATATCTACCCTTGCACCCCAATGCAGGAAGGCATGCTTGCGGCCTCCGTACGGACGCCCGGCAAGTATGTCGGCGAGATTAAGTTCCGCGTCCCTAGAGATACAGATACGACTCGACTCCAAGAAGCGTGGCAATTGACGGCGGATATGAATCCCATCCTTCGTACCCGAATGATTGAGACAGGCCGTGGCTTCTTCCAGGTGGTCGTACAAGACAAGATCGATTGGCTGGAAGGGGACCCGGAGTCAGGGCCTCCTGGATGTGGCTGGAAATATCTGGGTGGTCCACTGATTTGCTTTCGTCAACAGCCTCAACAAGAGGAATTGACCGTGGTTGTCCACCATGCGCTCTGTGATGGCTGGTCGATCGAGCTGCTTCAGGGACAGGTCGACGCAGCATACCGGGGAAATGCTACCCCAGCCACCAAGCCCTTCAGTCGTTTTGTCCATCATGTCCAGACCCTTCCTGGGGCTGAGGAGTTCTGGAAGTCGCAGCTAGAAGGGTTGGAAGCCCCAACCTTCCCAACTCTACCGTCGGTAGACTACCGTCCCTGTCCTTCCGCGGAGTTTCGACATATGTTGGCGGATCTGGAGAAGCCAAAAGGCGGAAATACATATGCCGCCTATCTGCAGCTGGCCTGGGCCCTCTTGGTGGCTCATTATACCGACTCAGAAGCAGTGGTATTTGGCATAACCAACACAGGGCGTACTGCGCCTGTCTCTGGGGTGGAAAGTTTGGTTGGACCCACCATCACAACAGTCCCCCTCCAAGTTCATGTCAAGCAAGGGGACAGTGTGGACGGCATTTTGGATCAGATTCAGAATCGAGTTGTCTCATTGCTTCCGTATGAGCAGGCAGGGTTGCAACTCATTGCCAAAAGCAGTCCAGATGCAGCAAAGGCCTGTGCTTTCCAAAGCCAACTACTCGTCCAACTTCAAGAAAACCCGGCTGAAAGTACTTTTCCCGTTCTGTCCGGCTCGGCAGCCACTGGCATGTCTTACCTTCCCTTCGCATCATATGGCATTTTTCTTGCCTTCAATGTTGGAGAGGCCAGTCGTAGCCTTGAGATCCACGTTAGCTATGACCCCAAGGTTCTCAGCGCCGTTGAGGTTGGGCGGATCGTCTTTCAATACGAGCATATTCTCCGACAGCTATTCCAATCGCCACGGAAAGCCGGCATGCCTGTCAAGGAGATCGAGATGATCAGTCCGCAGGATGCGCAAGTCCTACAGAAGTGGAATGGATCTATCCCAGTTAGGAATAATTGTTGTCTGCATGACCTGGTCCTGGCCCAACACGCTTTGGAACCAAACAGGACGGCGGTCTCGTCCTGGGATGGGGATCTTTCATACCAGCGCCTGGACGTGTTATCTTCCAAGCTAGCTCGCATTCTTCACACACGTGGTGTTGGCCTAGGGTCAGCGGTGGCCATTTGCATGGAAAAGAGCAAGTGGTCCGTCATAGCAATTCTCGCTGTCTTGCGTACCGGCGGCGCGTGTGTTCTGCTGGATCCGCAGTACCCGCGACACAGGATACAGGAGATTATGGCGGACAGTGATGCTAGCCTTTTGATCACTTCCTCTTCAACAGCCTCGCTAACCGATCGACTCTGTGCCAGCCAAGTTGAGATCTCTTCACAGTTCACAGAGCAGGTAGAAGAGCAGCCATCTGACTGGGCCTATGATATCCCGGTTTCGCCTCAGGATACCGCCTTCATTCTGTTTACATCTGGTAGTACAGGACGAGCAAAGGGGATAATCATGCCGCATTCAACTCTGGCGACCAGTATCCTGCATCACCGGGAGGGAATAAATGTGGGTCGTGAGAGTCGCTTGCTGCATCACTCATCCTTTGCATTTGACATGAGTATTTATGAGATCTTCACCACGATGGCTGGCGGCGGCTGCGTCTGCATCCCCTCACATTTCGACAAGAACAACGACATGGCATCGTATATTGCCCGCGCTGACGTCAACTGTGCCTTCTTTACTCCATCATCGATACAGATCCTCCGTCCCTCCCAGGTGCCGATGCTAAGAACTGTTGTTTTGGCTGGGGAGAACGTCACCGAGAGTGTAGCCGATCCCTGGACAAAGGAGCGCACGCTAATCAACGGTTACGGACCGGCCGAAGCTACCATCTGTGGCGTGGCGACAATCTCCGACGATGGATGGAAACCGGGTGTGATCGGCCGCATAGTTGGGGGCGTTGGATGGGTCGCGCAACCCTCCGACCCATCCAGGTTGGCAGCTATTGGCGCCGTGGGCGAACTTCTCCTTGAAGGTCCCATCCTCGCACGTGGGTACCTGAATCGCCCCGATGCAGACGCCGCTGCGTTTTTGTCCTGGCCCGACTGGAGGGTCAGCTTGCCCGGAAACACCGACAACGCCGATCGGCGTCTTTACCGCACGGGGGATTTGGTTCAGTATCAGCACGATGGCTCCCTCCGCTATATTGGACGCAAGGATACCCAGGTTAAGCTGCGTGGTCAACGCATCGAACTAGGCGAGGTTGAAACAACCCTAAAAAACGTATTTCCTGGCGCAGAGGAGGTCATGGCCGATGTGATCAAGTATCCATTGGCCCAAAACAACACCCAGCTCATCGCCGTGGTCAAGCAAGCCCAGGGGGCGTCGAACGGGCAAGGGAGCTTAGGGCCCATTCTCGCCCCTGCTGAGGCGACTTTCCTACAAAGTGCGCAATCGGCTCTGGCCAAGCTCAAGATACTTTTGCCTGCCTACATGGTGCCATCCATCGTCATCTCGGCTTTCCGGTTTCCTCGTACGTTAACGGGGAAGCTGGATCGCCGGAGCCTCAAAAGCGCTCTATTGGCCCTATCCCACCGGGAGCTGCAAGCGTATTCCTGCAAATGTCCCGAGCAAAAGGAAGCTCCTGCCACGGACTACGAGCGGAGGCTCCAGGACATCTGGCAAAAGATACTGGGCATCCCACACGCTGAGATTGGAGTGGATGACCAGTTCCTGAGTCTAGGGGGTGACTCGGTCGCTGCCATGAGAATGGTTGCAGTGGCGAGACGTGCTGGGTTCTCTTTGACTGTGGCAGATGTGATGGAGGGTAGTACGCTGCGATCGTTGGGTCGCCTTCAGAACACGACATCACCACCCACATCGTCGTCGAGATGTCGAGAATCCCTTGGATGCGAAAAGTTACTAGCCAGTCGAGTAGACAGTGGATGCCTACCAACGGGATCCAAAATCCGGCATGTGTTCCCTACGACTTGGTCCCAGTCCTTCTTGATTGCACGATACCCATGGACGCATTTCTGTTTTTCTTTCGCTGGATGGCTGGACCAGGGTCGTCTGGAAGGGGCAATCGCGCGTCTGACCCAAGCCCACAGTATTCTTCGCAGTCTTTTCATAGCTCAGGACGGGCAGCCTCTTCACGTCATTTTAGAAAGCATTGATACCCCGCTGCATGTAATGACAACTCCCGAGGATGTGCAGACAGTGACCAAGACGCTATGTCAGTCCGAGCAGAATGCCCCGGTTACGAGCTCTGTACCACCCACACGATTTACCCTGGTCACCAACGTAGCGGCTGCGCAACACGTCCTACTGATTAGGCTCTCACACGCGCAGTACGACGGGATGTGCATTCCAACACTCTTTCATGATCTGGAATCCCTTTGTAACCTTCCAGAGGCTGCTATACAACAGACCGATTTTGAAGACTATCTCCACGCCCGCCCCCACAGCCAGAACTCGGACAGCCTCGACTTCTGGGGCAACTACCTGCAGGGTTCTCTCATGACCAGATGGCCCAGTACTAGTATCAAGATCGAAACTGACGCGGTGACTCGTGGCTTTTCCGCACTGGAGTTGTCCGTCCAAGCCATACCTTCTGGTATCACCGCAGCCACGTTGGTCAAGGCAGCATCGGCCGTGGCCGTGTCCCGGCGGACCGGAACCACGGACGTTGTTCTGGGCCAGACCGTGAACAACCGGAGCCTGCCCGTAGCAGGGATCGACGAAATCGTCGGGCCGTGCGTGAACTATGTTCCATTTCGCGTGGCGATCCAACCATCCATGACGGGACGAATGTATCTGGAGCACGCGCAGCGCCAGTCCACGCGCAGTCTCGGGCACGAGTGGGTGGACCTGGACCAGATCGTTCAACAGTGCACGCAGTGGGAGTCTGGCAGTGGGTTCGGCTTCATCGTCCAGCACCAGAATATCGAGCGTGACCTTGGCCTCTGCGTTGCGGGCAACAAGTCACAAGCGTTCTCATCGGCCGGCCGGCTTTATCCGTCAACTGAGGTTTGGATCTGTTCAACGCCGACCTCGACCGGGATAGACATCGAGGTAATCGCCTCTCCCCATGTCTTGGAACCGGCTGTTGCCCAGAGCTTGTCGGAAGAGATTTCCAAGGCGCTGCAGGATCTCGTCAGTGAGGGGTTGGATTGTCTGATGGGGGACATGGGGAGTGTCAACCAAGATGCTCGGATCCAGCAGCAGTGAAACACCTTCCCTAATTAGGCATGCTATATATATACCACATAAATTAATTCGCCGTCACTGCAGGATACGCAGTATAGCTTCACCACACACTCGTAGACAAAATAAGGACCGATGAGCCCACCTTTTATATCCGCCCCCTCTACCATCTACCCAAATCCAATGGATAGAAACGTCTCGAAAAGCCATACCGTGCAACTTCCTCCACCGAATTGATCGATTTTCTCCTCCTTTTCTATACTTTGATTAATTTCGACTTTGGGATACCTGGGAATTGGTTATCAGTTTTGGGTGGAGTCGTGGATACTACATACAACATACATACTATACTGGTCTTGGGTTTAATATTTGAACCTGTTCCTTCATGACAGATATTTTATGAAGTGAATACGTTTTATCTTCAATACCCCAGCCATCATCAACAATGCTCAATACATTAATTAAAATTAAACCCTAATCCAAAATAACATTAACCCCAAACTTCACAAGCCCACCATCCCAATTAAGACTATAAAAATAAACAGACATATGTAAAGGAAAAAAGAAAACCCAAAGCTAGCCCTCTAACTACCACCACCATCTCCTCCTCCTCCTCCTCCTCCTCCTCCTCCTCCTCCTCCCCCTCCATCTCCACCTCCACCACCACATCCGCCCCCATCAGCGCCCGAACCAAACCCGGAGCCCCCATCTCCCCCATGCCCAACATTCCCCCACTTCTTCCCCTTCAGATTCTTCTTCCTGCGGCCTGCGTCGTTCTGCCATGCGTTGTGTGGACTTGGTTGGTTGTAGGCGTTGGGTGCGGAGTGGTAGTACCGTCCTTGCTGTTGTTGTTGGTAATTGCGGTAGTTGGGATTAGGGTTGTAGGCGACTGGTCTGGGAGGTTGGGAGGTGTGGGGAGTTTGTTTGGAGGAGCCGAAGCACATTTTGTAGATCTTGTTATATGTTTTCTTTCTCTTTGGTGTGTGTTTTTTGATTGGTTTTGTCGGTGGTTTATTGTATCTATCGTTGGTAGGTAGGCATGTGTCTTGATATCCGTAGAATGATGGGCGTAATATAGCTTTACCACAATCTTGTAGACAAAGCAGCCCAAGATAGACAGAAAGATAGACAAACAAACAAATTGACAGTAGGTAGACAATTAACAGTGAAAAAAGCAGTCCCCAACTACCAAGCAAAGCCCACCTTATATACCCCCCGTCCCCTCCCATAAACTAGATAAACGTCTCGAAAACCGCACGTGCAACTTCCCCGCCGAGTCAATCGATCGAACAACTGTCTCCGACAGCCTCATATATTTCTAGCGGGGCTATGATAAGGTCCCATGGGCCATGACGGTGGTGCTGCTGACGGGCTGGGCTGCGCCTCTGGCACGGCCAATCATTCGGTTTGGTGGACTGGTCGCCTGATAGTGGTTTGATTGTTTATCTACTTTACTTGCGTGGGTCTTTTTTTTTTTTTTTTTTTTTGCAGACTTGAATAAGTAAACAGTTATTTGGTTGGTTGCTGATTGTTGATCGATGATTGGGGCGCATGCAACTGTATTGGGCGACTATGTTGGGTAAGTTCTCATTTCTATGGTTTATGGTGAACGTCGGGTACATAGATCTGCTTCCCTAAGATCATCGTCTTCGTTTTCGTCTAGTAGAGTACGGATTGAATCTACAGGGTACTGAATAGAATAATAGAACAATACAGTTTTAGTATATCAGCGACAGTTGGTACTGTACAAGACACGCTACCGGCTCCACCTCCGCGGTCTATTACCCTCCAACAGAAAAGAAAAGAAAAAGAACAAGCGCCATGGGCCGCGCGGCGCGCAAAACGGGTTAGAAAAACATCACATTGCTCGATTACAGGGTGTTGCGGCTCATGTCCGCGCGGATCCGGTTGTAGTCGAGGACACCCTCGACGCTGCCGACCGCGCTGACGGCCACATCCTGATCCCAGATCTTGCGGCTGGCGAAGTCCATCACGTCCTTCTCGGAGATCTGGCCGATCGTCTTCTCGATGTCCTCCGGTGTCAAGCGGCGGCCGGTCGTGATGATCTGGCGACCGATGTCCTCGGCGACGGCGGTGGTGCCGTCCAGGGACAGCAGGATCGAGGCCTTGAGCTGGGCCTTGGCGCGCTCCACCTCGGCGGAGGTGACGTTGAAGCACAGGCGAGACCACTCGCGCAGGGTGAAGTGGACCAGGTCATCGAGCTGGGTCAGGTTCTCGGAGACGAGGTAGATACCCCAGAGACTGGACGGGTTAGTCATTCATTCGACCTAGAGGAAGTAGGAAGCGAGGGGGGACACTCACCCAGTGTCGCTGTAGCTGGTGGAGAAACTCATGAAGCTGTTGGCCAGAGCGTGGTGCTCGACGTGGGAGCTGAGCTTGCTGCCCAGGTAAGGGGAGTTGCCCATGGCACGGTCCCAGTTGCCGACGATGGCCTGGGTGACCAGGGCGAGGAAGTAGTCGTCATCCTTCCAGCTGACACCCTCCACGGCCAGGGCCAGGTGGGCCGAGCCGACGGTGTCGTCACGGACGCGGACCTCGGAGCCGATGAACTCGGGCAGACGCTTCTGCTCAGCGGTGAGAGCGGCGGCGGCAGAGGTGGGCGGCTTGTTGGGGAGAGCACCGAAGTGCTCCTCGGCGAGACGGACGAGCTGCTCGTGGGGGATGCCACCGGCACCGACCAGGACCATGCGGTCGGCGGTGTAGTTGGTCTTGATGTAGTTCTCGAGGTTGTCGCGGGAGATGGTCTGGATGTTCTCCTTAGGGCCGAGGATGGTGCGGCCAAGGGGCTGGCCCTGGTAGGCGGTGGCGTGCAGGTGGTCGAAGACGACTTCCTCCAGCTGCTTGTCAACCTCCTCCTGCTCGCGCAGGATCACGTCACGCTCGCGCTCGATGGCACCGGCCTCCAGCTTCGAGTTCTGCAGGATGTCGGAGAGGATGTCGACGGCCTTGGGGACATCGTTGTTGAAGGCCTTGGCGTAGTAGACGGTGTTTTCTCTCTATCATTGAGTAGTTAGTTCTGTTCCTACCACCATAAATCTGGCTTGAGCCGGGTTTCCGGGTCCTACCGAGGTGTAGGCGTTCAGGTGAGCGCCCATGTTCTCGATCTCAAGCTCCAATTGGTGCTGGCTGCGCTTGTTGGTGCCCTAATAACGAGGTCAATTTCCTTCCCCACGTTTGATTTTTTTTTTCGTAATGTTCTGGTTTACCTTGAACGCAAGATGCTCGAGGAAGTGCGCGGTACCGTTGGTCTTGTCAGTCTCGGCCCTGCTGCCGGCGTCGATCCAGACACCGACAGTGGAAGTCTGAGCCCACGGGGAGTGCTCGGTCGCGATCTAAAAGCCGTCAGTAAGCCGGCGACCTGATAGACAGGATCAATAGGCGGTCATTGGGCCGTACCGTGAATCCATTGGACAGAGTCGTCGACTGAGTGGTGGAGGGCAGGGTAACCGGCGAAGCAAAGCCACGCTTCACAGGCTGGATGGCCTTGAGAGCGGCGCGACTCCGCAGAGCCTGGTTAAGGTTGAACGCTAGGCGCCGGGAAGCCATTATGCAAATAGACTTAATGGGTGGGAAGAAGGGAGGAGGTGGAGGAGGAATGGGGTGACAGAGAGAGGCGGACACGGTCAACGCTGGAGATGCGAGGTTGAAGTTCGGGAGTCAAATTGTTCGCCCTCCCGCCGGCCAATCACATGACCCGCTTTTCCAAACCGCCTGCTTTCGATCCGATTTGTTCCCGCTGACTCAGCGTCTTCCTGCCGGGATTGCCTGAATTATTCTGCCACCGCTCACCATGCAGTTCAAGATAGAAGCTGAGCTCTATATCAGGATCAACATTACGATTCTTGCATCTAGTCAATATTAATACAGATATACAGGAATGGCTCATATGATTAAAGATACTAATAACCATGATGACATGATAAAACCTAGGCTGTATTGAACCACGCTCTGCTCAAGCTCACATTAACCTTCTGCCACGTGCGCTGAGGTTCCCAGGTCCGGACTGGTAGAGGTGGGATAACATGGACTTTCCTCCGAAAGACATGACGATGCTCTGTCCCTTGTCAATGTTCTGTCCTAACCTAGCCCGGCGCGTCATTCCCCACTGCAGTCCACACTCGAATGGGGGACGGTTATGCCGTATGCAATTGTCCAAGGTAACCTGCACCTCATTCAATATAACACGTCAAACCCATCCCCTTGTCTGAGCAGCCAGTATACCAATCTATTTCCCCCGTAGAATCATGTCGTAGCCGGCGCGCGATCTCCCGAATGATGCTGGCTCTGTGTCTGGGCCCATCCACCCAGAGAGCATAACAGAACGCCTCGGAGCATGCGTCGTCGCTGTGCCCCACACGGAGGTAACGAACAGCTGGCCTTCGAGGTGAAAATGAGACGGAAGAGGATCATAATCTCGTTACCATTCAACAATCATTGTTCATTCCTCCCCATGTTCCAAAACATCCACGTCCAGCTCCTCCATCACCCCCAGAACGACCCCCACGCTCTCCATGAACCCGTTCACCGCCACCCGCAACATCCGGTTCGTAGTAGCCCGGTACGTGATATCCAGGACCGTCGTGCCTGACTCGTCTGCTGTCTGGGTTTCTTCTTTCGAGGGGTGCACCAGTTCGAGGTCCCGCTGGACGAACTGAGACAGCTCGGCGTCGACTTCGAGGCTGCGGAGCGCGGCAGAGGCGAGACGGTTCGTGGGAAGGGGAAGGGAGATTTTCCTAGCAAATGTCAGTGTTCGCTGGTGGTGGTTTCGAGACGTGCTCTTCTGTTTGGGAAGTGGGGTAATTTCAGTGGCTCACATTGAATAAGGGAATTGAGGGGTGGCCATGTTGGCTGTTGTCGCGCGTGAGGCAAATGAGAAGGGTCAGAGAGTATAGCCCTAGGGCAAGAGACAGCAGGGGTGATTGAAGCCTTGGAAAGATAGGTTCAGTCGTCTTTACTGTAGAAAACTTGGTGGAGACTAAGGTGGGCGATAATGAAGATGGGTGGTGGCTGAGTCAGCAATGTCATATGTAGAGCAATTCACCAGTTGGCGCGAAAAGCACAACAGTTCCCATTTCGGCAAATTCGCAGTTGGTGTCTCGAATATTAGGCTCTTCACAACTTCTTGTATTATAGATAATCATTTATCCTAGCTGGCTTGTGAGTCCGACAGGGTAGGTCCCTATCATCCTCGTTGCATAGAGCTACGATGTGCATCTTTAGATGGGACGTTTTAAGAGTATCAGGTAAAGTAAATCAATTCAGATGATAATCCGTGCTTTGTAGAAGGATTTCAGGATAATCGTAAAGGCCTCACCTGATTTCTTGTGCATAGCAACGTGAACATCATTTCGGTCTTCTTCTATGGCCATGGCTGCAAAATCAGATTGGGATAGATGATTTCGGGCTTGCTAACACCCACTGCACCGCTCATCAAGCGGTGACCAGACAGGCGAGCATAGTATCGAGACCTGCCAATCAACCATATGGTACTCTATTTCCTTTGAGATTGCCCTTTGCGAGGATGTGAAAGCTGCTGATCCCTGACCCGGTCTCTTGTCGAGGCTCTATACTCGCTGGGGGTTTGGTGCGCACGGCGAGTGGGTAAGCCCATGGCCAGATGGGTCTGGTCTCGCAATTATCGTTCAAGCTAGAAACCAAGAGCTCTCTTGTATATGTCTGACAGCTTAGAAGTCTGCCATCCGATAACAGCTATGATAAGATTGCAACAGTGCTACCACTGCTTCGCTCATCGCCGGAATAGCGAAGGATCATAGGATTTCACCATTCGCCATCTCACGACGGCTCAATACCACACTTCTCCGTGTACTTTCATAGTGCTGGTAAGGATATCGAACCTTCATCATTTGCCAGAGAAATCGCCACTGTTTGCCAAGGTCCTGCTCAATAACGAGACATCAAGGGGTCAAAATAGCCCCTATCAACCATGAGGTGTTAGGGAGTATAGAACATCAAAACTCCGAGAAAAATTCAATGTTCTAGAACAGGGATAAGAAGGTCAATGAATCCAGAACACCATTGGAACTAACCCCCTGGTAGAAGGTTCTTCCCCTTTTCTTAATTCTCGCCGACAACTGTGGCTCGTACTTTTGATCTGCACCCAGTGCCGAGTGGGATCTGCCAATGACGCAGTGAAATTCTCCATTCTCAAGGAGACAAATTTCAATCGATGGAAACAAGATACGGCCCGACGGGATACACCACCTGGACGGCTGGCCCGGCACTGGGGCAAGGCAAAAGGGACCCATCACCAACGTAATAGCCCAGACATCTGTGGCAGTGATTCGAGCCCCTCTCGGCCTTGCTGCATCGCACAAAGCTATGGGGTGGTACCTGCTGCGATTTGCGCAGAAATTAACGGATACTATCGCCTTGTCCGCTTCCAGGTGGGCAGGGGGTCGACGGCTGATCCCAGTCAAGTAACCTTGGCGATGACCTCAGAGGGGGAATGGAATCCACCGTGATGGGCCCTGATTTCCCAGTAGTCCGAAGTATTGAGGTCAGAAATCAGGAGTCATGCAGCACAGGCACTCCTCGCTGGCGGGGAAAAGGGGAACAGAAAGTCGGTGGAGTACAGTTCACGGTATCTCCGCCGTTGCCCAGACCGATCAGTAGTTTCTATCAGATGTCAAGTCTCGAAGTCCAACGCGGCAATAGCACAAGAAAGAACGGCCCATCTCGTCTCAGTCGGACGGGATTAGGCCGACTAGATTTGTCGGGAGGCCGCCCGAGGTAAACGCAAAAGGAGGAATCCCGATTATACTGGTTTACGATTTATGATCAAGAACTCGTACGACAGAAATCAGAGGTCGTTGGCGGGAAACAGTCAACAGCATTTCGGTCGGCCCGATTCTCCATTCAATGCCGATCCATCCATGTCTCCGTGCGGTAAGGGCGTATGGATATGGAAGAGAAACTTGGGTAGGTACGGTGTGCGCCGGAACTAGCGCAAACCTGGAAGACTAGAATGATGAGGATCGACAAATCTCCACCAAATCAATAAGCTTGATGATCGTAAGAAACCACTTGTGGTTCTCTGGGAGTACCCATGTGGGCCTCACTGATCTTCTGCACTACTCTACCTATCTCCTTCCAATTCCATGCTTGACGTCGGTGGCAATTGTGTTCGAAAAAAGAAAATGGACGTTCTTTTCGGAAATTGGCGACACTCCCCTCCCTTTGATCATGCCACTCCAAAGTGAATCAAACGGGGTGGCATGTTGTCCCACATCCTCCAATGCCGTTCATGTACAGAGGCGCTGTGTGGGTCCTCATGGGGGACGAATCTGGATAGACAGGGGAGAAAAAACACTAAAAGCCTTACCAAAGTGATGATACCGCTGGTACGATGCTCCTTTGAGTCCCGTCCATAGTCTCTTCCTTGGCTCGTTGGCATCCAGGAAATCCTTGGATTTATGGATCAGATACTGGGGCCCGCACGGCTCTACCGCGCATCCGTTGGTTCATGGCCCAGCGCAACGAACAGCAGTTCTATATTTGGCCAGTTAGAGAGGACCGATGAGAGAGAGGATGGCTGGTCCGCGGCAAACATGATCTTGGTACATCTTATCTTTGATTTGTAAATACTTCCTGCCTTGACTGGCAAGAAGTACGAGATCAATTACCAACGTTGAGCATGTGAAGTGCCCCATATTTTGTTAACGGCCATGTTAGTGGCAGTCAAGTCCCACTAGAGGGAATAATATTAAACGTGGACCACCTTTCGAAACTCTAAATCAAGGACTAAGAGAGCCCTATAGAGCCAGTCGGAATGGAAAAGCCTGCACGTAGATGTCTCCGTCCCTTCGTTAGGACGCAGTTAGATCGGACGAGGCAGTCCAAAAACTATCAATGGTTCTCTCGTGTTCTACACCAACACACTGAGGAACAGTCTATGTGAAGGTGGACTATGGCGTCTTGGGCTCGAAGCCTTACTGGCGTCATTAGACTCCAGGTAAGATTAAGCGCAGATCCCAATGGCGATAGGGGATCACGATCAAGTACAGCTTGTTGTTGAGCCCACAAGCGGATCCGGCTTCTTTCCGATGAGCAATCCTGACCATCCGATGGTTTCACCAATGTCGTTGCTGATCAACTAGCTGCTTGTGGATTGATCAGTGTATATCATTTTAGCAGAAGACAGTGGTTTGCATCGTTCAAAGTGTTGTAAACGTTCGTCGGTGGTCTCAATCAAACAAGTCCTTGGGACGCGTGAACTAGAGAACTTCTGTGGCTGGTCCTTTGCCATAGCTTGCTAAGGGCATCCTCCATCACAAAATGGAGAGAGGGACAATACCCGACTGCCGCGGAAAATGCCCTGCTAGTATAGACTCCATCGAGTATCCACAAGATAGACCATTGTGACCCCATCCACCTTGTAAGATTGCTCCCTCGGGCAAGAATCCCAGGTCTAGACAAGGACGACCCGCCAGCCCAACTAGCACGTTAGTATGCAATGATCAAGGCTTCCGGAAGAGGGACGATCAAAACGAAAAGATAGGAAAAGGATCATCCCGGTGCCATATTTAAGACTCGACATCCCATGGCCATGGTGACTTCTTTCTTTTCTCCAGCAGTCCAAACGTTCATTCTTTCGCTCAAGTCTTTTGCTCTCCCCAGTCCAACTCGGGTCTTTCATTCATTCGATTCCTCGCGAATCCGTCCATTCTTTCAGAAAAGAAACCTATTTTCCATACACCCAACATGAAGTCTGCTTTCGTCGCTTTCGCCGCCCTGGCTGGCTCGGCCGTCGCCGCCCCTACCGGTGCTCTGTCCGCCGTCACCAAGACCTTCGACACGGTCACTTCCGTTTCGATCTCTTCTATCCCCGCCGCCACCTCCGAAATCGCCATCTCCCCCAGCGGCGTCGTCTCCCCTAGCCCCGTTGTCTCTCCCAGCGGCGTCGCCGACGACGGCCACCTTCTCAAGGATATTGGTCACGGTGCCAACAAGGTCCTGACCGTTACCGGCCAAGACACCAAGAAATTGCTTGTCAAGCTCAGCCCTGAGGTCAGCCACCTGCTCTCTGGCCTGGGTCTTCCCGAGGTCGGCGTTCCCGCCGGCAAGATCGTCAAGACCGCTGGTGCCATCGGCGATCTCCTCCAGGACATCGGCGAAGCCGTCGACGGCCTGATCACCGTTGTCGACAAGGACCTCGGTGCCGTCCTGATCCAGCTCGACCCCGAAGTCACCGGTCTCATCTCCGGCCTGGGCCTTCCCGTCCTGGGCAACGCCCTGGGCGAAGTTGTGGGTACCCTTGGTGAGAACCTGAAGCGCTCCGACAAGGATGGCCTCCTCGAGGATGCTGCCCCCGTCGCCAAGGATATCCTCCAGGTCACCGGCGAAGACTCCAAGCAGCTTCTCGTCAAGCTCAGCCCTGAGGTCGCTGAGCTGATCTCCGGTCTCGGTCTCCCCGGTGTTGGTAGCGCTATTGGCAAGATCGTCAAGACTGCCGGTGGCGTCGGTGATCTCCTCAAGGACCTTGCCTGGCCCGTTGAGCAGCTCTTGACTGTTGTTGGCGAGGACGGCTCTCACCTTCTGATCCACCTCGAGCCCAGCGTTGTTGGCCTCCTTACTGGTCTTGGTCTGCCTGCCCTCGGCCACCCCCTTGGCCATGTTGTCGGCACCGTCGGCGAGAACCTGTAAATTTGTGAGTCTGCCTGCTTTGGTTTGTGTCTAGGTTGATGCTAATCTGCCCAGTGTGTCCCATGATTTATCCCGGGATTGATCAATTCCCACTTCGCTGCTTGGAAGGCCACTGTATCTGGCATGTTAGCAGTGAACAGCACGAAAATTAAATGTACATTATCCGCTATCCGGGTTGCTTTTGCTTTCCTTTCGAGCCTGGACCGACGTCCTATTGCATATTCTGGGAGTTCCTATAGATATATGTTTAATCACTATAAATCTACGATT